ACTGATGGAGGTTATCAACTAGACTGTGGGATGGTACTACCTCCTGTTGGTGATGATCCCCTTATCAGATAAGCTGGTGCTGGTGATGTTCATGCAGGGGATGAAGAAAAGTCAGAAAGTTTCAGCTAAACACACTTAAGTTGAAATGGCAGAGTAAAGCAGCAGCTCCTCAAAGTATAGAGATGCCTCTGTGATTATTATGTTATGGGGAGTTTTTACCAGCACCAAAGTGCAAAAGACAGGACTTTATGAGGTCTTCCCAGGTCTTTCAATTATATGCAATTCTGTAACTTAAATTTGGGTATTTTTCTTTGCCAGAAAAAAAGTACATGCATTTAGAGTAAGGTACCTCAAAAAGGCAGGAAGAATCACAGAACCATAGATCGTTAAGGTTGGAAAAGACCTCCAAGATCATCAAGTCCAACTTTTGACCAAATACCATCATACCCTTTAAACTCTACTGTGAAGTGCCATGTCTACTTGTTTTTTGAACACTTCCAGGGATGGTGACTCCACCACTTCCCTGGAGAGCCTGTTCAATGCTTAACTATTCTTTCCTGAAAAACTGTAGCAGTTTTTCCTAATATCCAACCTGAAACTCCCCTGGCACAATTTGAGGCCATGTCCCCTTGTCTGGGAGAAGAGACCAACCCACACCTTGTCACAACCTTTCTGGTAGCTGTAGAGAGCAGTAAGGTCTGCCCTGAGCCTCCTTTTCTCCAGACTGAGCAGCCCCAGCTCCCTCAGCCGCTCTTCATGGGACTTTGTTCCAACCCTTTATCAGCTTCACTGCCCTTCTCTGGAAGGGCACATATCCCCCCACACCTGAGCAGGAATGTGGAACCCCGTGTCCCTCAGCGCACACAATCCCAGGAATGGTCAGGGTGTTTTACTGACATCCTGAACAACAATTCCAGATTCATCAGCTTGCTGTGGAGCTGATGAAACACAGCAGTGAAGTGCCCTAACTGAACAGGGCAATTTAAAGGAGCTGAAAAGGCATTGTGAGTGCTCCTGCCCTGCATTCCATGTACCCCTAAGGAAAAAAGGAACACATGCTATTAGTCCTGCCCATACTGTATATGCCAACTTGGACTGCTACTTGAAGATGAACATCCTTCTTTCTGAGATGAAGGTGGGGCTGTGAAATGGGACAGGCATGGAGACTAATTAGTAATATGATTTGGCATCCATTAAGGTAGTGTGACTAATGACCTGCTGAATCAAACTGAAATTACCTCAATAGACTGAGAAAGGTGAGTAAAAAAGGCAGTAGGGATTATATCTGCCAGCAGAAATCAAGGCACTCCAACACCATTTGCTAAGAGATTTAAAAATGTGCACATGTGTAAAAATACACACACCTGGCCAAAAAAATAGTATTTTATTCTTTTTTTTTTTTGTTACAAACCTGGTAACAGTTGTCTATTCTTTATAGGCTCGTAATTTTCATTTACTAACTCAGAAGCCTGTAACTTAGGCTAGGGATTTACTCATTTTTTGTTGTTATCATTTGTGTCTCTATTTGTATAAATGCTTAAAGAAACCCTGTACTTACCCCTGTGTAGTAGTCAGCACTTAGGAACATCTCAGTCATGTATTTCCTGCCATCACACTGCAGGGTTAACTGCTGACAACAAAGGTATCTTCTGGTAGTTCTGCCCCACCTGAACGATCCACAGCAGCTGTGTGCCACATTTAGCTGGTAGGTTCAACTGACCTTAAGGCTAATGGAGCAGGATAGCTGAAAAGCTCTTGTTTATCTGACCCAATACATACTGTTTCAAGGGTTATGTAAATATTGAGATGCATCAGCTATTCTAGATAGATTTATACACCAACTGCCTGCTTGCTGAAGCACTGAAAGGGCTGTAGTTACAAGTGATTTTAAATTATCTCTTTGTCAGGTCAATTAGAAAGGAAAAATAAGACTTAGAGGACCACGTTAGGATTTTTTTTAAAGTCTCAGTTTCATAATCAGCATATAGCTCTTGATGTTGACTACAGGACATCTACAATCCCCCATTTCCAGTCAGTAAAAGGGAGTATATACTGAACTTCATATTTACCTATATGAAAACAGACCAGAAGGAAGACAGTACACAGAATCTGACAATATCTCACCAAAGACAAATGGTATAACATGTCAGGAAAAGGCTTAGAAAGATAACCTGCACCAAGGAGGTACTTGGGCATGTAACAGGAATCTGGCCAGCCTTTTTTCTGCACTGGCTCTTTTCTGTCTGCTTACTGGAAAAGTCTCACAGACCTCATCCTTAACAGTACAGATTCAAATATATGACATGGAAAAGCTCTTATCTTTTATTTTAGGAGATGAATGTGTTTAAAGCATGAACAAAACACCTCCCAATGTACACTGTTAACAGTTTCATTACTGTACAACACATCTGCATGTAGTTTTTAGCTAAGCATCACTTAGTAGCTCTGTGAGACACCTGTGTTCATGAGACATAGCACTGACAATTTCCACGTATTCGGCTTTGACACGACAGGACTGAGTATTTATTTCAGTATGATCAGTTCATTTTTTATCACTTCCTGGAACTCAAAATACGCTTTTCAAATAAAACTTTCTAAAAAATCTAGAAGGTAAAAAAGAAAAAAAAATTATGTATATACAAAGGGAAAGTGCTCCTGCCCTGAAAAGCCCTGTTTTTCAGTAGAGATAGTCAGTTATCTTTCAGAGTTTTAACGTTAAACATAAACATGATTCATTTTTATTGCAAACACATAACTTTTAGTATAATACATCATCACTAAGACTCATCTTTTTAGTGCACATTTCCTCTTACGTAAAAAGCAGATGTGCCTAAGGCTGGCAAAGTGATTTTCTAACACTGCTCGATTGGTAGATATTGACTGTGTAAATATGTAAGTAACTGATATGCTTTACTATTAGAGAGAGAAGAAGGTGCAAAATCTCACTTAAAGCATTTAAATAATGGACTAACAAAATCTTATTTCTCTATCATGTGCGACATGGAGTGTCCTCGGTAAAGTTACAAAACAAAGATGCACACTGGAAGAGAGTCTGAATGCAAGAAGCATGCAATTAGGTAGGCATTAAACCATCTTTTCATTCTCCACCTGACCATCAATATCCTCTATTTTCTTACTAATAAAAAATGATCACCTTCATAAAGCTCCTGCAAGCATGCTGCGTTACAGTAAGAGCAAAGCACAATTTCAGACACTGATAAAAGTCTCCAAAAGCCTTTTCCTTGAGGACCTTGAGGTTTGCCTATTCAAAAGTAGTGCCAAGGCCATCAGTTCAAGTCTTTTCTTCCCAGACCAACGTTATATAATACTGGGATTCTGTATTTGATTTCTTGGAATTTAGGCTGGTGCATCTATATTAAAGACAATACTTTTTAAAAAGTAGTATCAATGCAATGCAAATCATTAACTTTCTCTATTTCCATATTGCCAACTGATTGAGATATATATATGTATTTTAAAAAATGTAAATGTAAATGTACAATTTCTACAAGCATGTGTGTGTGAGTGCACACACAGATAAACACTTATTACTCTGGCCACCAATATCTCAGTTAGATAGATCATTAGTCATAATGAATGAACACTGAAATGCTATAGTTTGCCTTGTAGATTTTATTCAAAACCTAAATTATTTATTGTGTCAACTAAATTAAAGCTTTTTGTTACATGCATATATTACAACTTCCAAGTTTCTCCCCTGAATTATTTGCTTTCTTTCTATTATCTGTGTATTCACAATAAAATCGTTGTCTTCTATGTGAGTGGGAATGACTGTTTGATGTAAAAAGACTGTTTTCAGCCTTTGATGAATCATCAACTAATTCCTTCAATAAAAGTTAAAATATCAGCATGCAGACAATATTGTTACCAAGATATTTCTTGATACTACCAAAGAGGTTTACTAGGTTGCTTACTCCCTTGTGGCATTTCAATAAAATAGGTCCGCTACTAATGCTGCATCTTAAATATAGCACATCGAGAGTGCTCCATGAAACCCACTTGAAAAGTTGTGTCTGTGCCCTCCTTGCACAGGAGAGTTCCACACTAGAGCAAAGAGGATTTGGACCCTCACGTCCAAACCCCAGCTCAAACTGCACTGCAGCATTTGGGAGAGGAATCAGTTATCAGAACACTCACATCCCGTGCTACAAACACGATTTCCAGGCACAATCCCAACCACACTGTGTACGGGCAGTGATGAGGAGCCTCACCTACTCCTCAGCTCACAGTCTTCACAAATTAACTCCAGTAGGGAGATCTATATTGCAACAGGGTTGAAGGAGGCAAACTCCTGCTTTTTAAAATGTGCAATTCACTTTTAAAACAATATAACTACGTAAAACAAATATTATTAACTGAAAACTAATAAAACAGTAAACTTATTTTTCCCAGAAACATATGCTGCACACACAGCTTCGCTAACTTAAGACCAAATTCTTATCCGTACACAAATCCATTGCCTAAGTACAGAGATACCCTGTGCTACATGAAGAACAGAAACCATTGAAAACATATGTCCCATACACAACATTCCTCAATTCCAAATAAAAGAAAGCTTCTATTTCCTTTGGAGAAGAACTCTCACCAATGCATTACTGCAGACAGCTGACAGCGGTACTGCATTTATCTAAGGAAAATAAACAAACTTGTATAAAACACTTTCCATACAGTGACTGTTTGAAATACTTTAAACACAACTCCCAGTGTTAACGACAAACACCTACATAATTCAAACAGCAAATAGGTAGGAGCTTTCAAGTGATTTTCAACTTTTACAATGAAAAAAAGCTTTGTATAATTAACAGGAGTCAAAAGGATACAAGTTTACTAAGTCATTTTGAGCGAGTCACAAACTAAACACCACAGGGAGTCCATTTTATCATCTGTTCAATTAAAAATCATCATGCTTATCAAACCATAAAATTTACTTTATTTTCAGAAACAGGAATCATTCTTTAAACACACGATTTAGTACTTACGGGTAAAATGATTAGAAGTGGATGGATTGACACTATCACCACTGTCAGCACTTTCACTGCTGGAAATGTCATCATCTGATTCCCGCACAGAGGAACAAGGTGAGGAGCCATCAACTTCTTCAAACTTCCTCTTTAAAATTCCACTCATCGCTGCAATGCTGTCACACGCACCTGTAACAGGAACAGAAGCAATGAGATGCTGAAAAATCCAGCTGCAAAATATGCAGGCATAACCTCCAAAGTAATTTTTACTTAGAAGTACCAAAACGTTGCCACCCTCTACTGTTGAATAACCATTTAGTATGAAATTACATATAATTAATTAGGAGACAGTGAAGCCACAGGAAAAAAAAAAAAACTTAAGCCATACTTTAACTTGACATGTACAGAGATGGTTATTTCACTAGGATAATGTGTAACAGCTTGCTTTCAGGGAGTATTTTTCCCATTTTGATGTCAATAGCATCCCTGATTTCTTGCTTATGTTGTGAAATTTCAAACAAAGAAAAAAATGCAGTTTCTCTTCAAAGAGCCTGACTTGGTTCCTCCCTTGGCTGCCACAGGACGAAGGAATGTTCAGAATCAGAGATTAAATAAGTAAGTAGAAATCATCCTGAACACTACAGTTCCCATAACCAAATACATGTGATCTAACCAGTGTTCACATCACTCTGTAAGAAATCCATCTCATAATTCCAATATTACAGACAGATAAAAGACAGTAAAAACCATATACCAATTTAGTGCTCAATAAACATCTGGAATTCAGAAATTCCTCATCCCAGTCAGAGGCACCAAATTACCTCCCAAATTTTCTCCTCTTCTCCCAGCCAGCATGGGTTTATGAAAGGCAGGTTGTGCTTGACTAATCTGATCCCCTTCTATGACAAGGTGACCTGCCTAGCGTTTAAAGCAAAAGCTGTTGATGTTGTCTACCTGGACTTTACTAAAGCCTTGGACACCACATTCTTATGGAGAAACTGGTTGCTCACATTTTTGTACTCTTCAACAGGTTAAAAACTGGCCCAGAGAGTGGTGGGGAATGGAACTAAATCCAGCTGGTTGCTGGGCACCAGTGGTGTTCCTCAGGGCTTAGAGCTGGGGCCAGTCCTGTTCAATATCTTTATCAGTAATCTGGACAAGGGGACTGAGTGCTCCCTCAGCCAGTTTGCAGATGACTGACACCAAGCTGGGCAGGAGTGTCGATCTGCTGGAGAACAGGAAGGCTCTGCAGAGGGACCTGGGACAGGCTGGACTGATAGGCCAAGACCAATTTGCCTAAGGTTCTGCAAGGCGAAGCACTGGTCCCACACTTTGGATCACAGCAACCCCAAGCAGTACTACAGGCTGGGGGCAGTGCCTGGAAGGTGGCCCAGCAGAAAAGGACCTGTGGGTGCTGGTCAACAGCAGCTGAACATGAGTCAGTGCCCAGGTGGCAAAGAAGGCCAATGGCATTTTGGTCAGTATCAAAAATACTGTGGCCAGTAGGACCAGGGCAGTGATTGTTGCCCTGAATTTGGCACTGGTGAGGCTGCACCTCTAGTGCTGTATTCAGTTCTGGGCCCCTCAGTACAAAAAAAGACATTGAGGTGCTGGAGTGAGTCCACAGAAGGGCAATGAAGCTGTTGAAGGGTCTAGAGGATCAGCTGAGGATCAGCTGAGGAAGCTGGGGGAACTTAGTCTGGAGAAAAAGAGGCTCAGAGAGGGCCTTACTGCTCACTACAGCTACCTGAAAGGAGGTTGTAGCCAGGTGGGGGTCAGCCTCTTCTCCCAAGTAACAAGTGATAGGACAAGAGGAAAGGGCCTCAAGCTGTGCCAGGGGATGTTTAGATTGGATATTGGGAAGGATTTCTTCACTGAAAGTGTCATCATGCATTAGAATAGGCTGGCCAGGGATGTGCTTGAGTCACCATTTCTGGAGGTATTTAAAGGACGCCCAGATGTGGCACTTGGGGACATATTTTAGTGGCGCACTTGTCAGTGTTAGGTTAATGGTTGGATTTGATGATCTTCTGAGGTCTTTTCCAACTTACATTATTCTGTGATAGCCACATTAAGAAGTAAGATGCCTCATATGTTCCTGAGGTTGAGTGGAAGATTATAAAACAAAGTAGTCAAGCAGAAATTTAGCAGCAGAGGTAGAAATATTGCATGTGATTACTGAGAAAGTGTACCCTTAAGTAACTGAGGAGAGATCAAGAACAGCTGGAGCCTGCCTAGAGGACACACAGATGCCACCATGCTGCCTGCAGCACTGCAAAGACAAGCACTGCTGACACCTACCCAGGCAAAAAGTTTGTCTAGGATTAATGACATACTATACTTGCAGAGGACACACACCTTGCACTACAGACTTACCACAGGGCTCTGCCAAATCCCACTGAAAGCAAGAAAAATAAAAGAGAAATTTACATTTCCCATGAAATGGGACTTCTTTAAAACCCTGCAGCTACCTTTAGGACTCATTAATTCTGAGCCAGCCACATTCTGCTCCTTCCAGAAAGCTGGAACTAGGTAACCTCCAGAACTCCCTTCCAACCAGCATTTCTATGGTTCTATGTTTAAAAGAACCAATAAATCTGTCAGGAAGCTATCATAAGTTGGGCTAAGTGGCTACTTGTAAAGAAGACAAGATTAAGGCAGAGACTCCAGTACTGGCCATACTGTTTAACAATTAGCACATTTCAGGGTTTTGGCCCAGGCCCTGGATAACACAGGATGAAGCAAGTGCCAGAACCCTTCCCAGTAGGCAGGCTGGATGAGGGTACCTGGGTTTTGGCAAAGGCCTGACAGCTTAGCCACTGTGGACAAGAGCTGCATCCTGCCACTTGGCAGCAAAAGACAGAGAATGCTGTCCCTAGCCTGCATCTTTCTTATCTTTTCAATTAGTACAGAAGTAGTATCAGTGATGTAGGTGCTCTGTTCTGACCCTGTAAGCACAGCACATCAGCAGATTCTCTGTTATCTTGGCTCAGACTTGGTGTCATACCAAGTAGTTTCAAAGTCTCTCATGCATTCTATAGCCCCCTTCAAGCTCCAACAACAGTTTCTTTCCTGGAAAGAAACAAAGTAACAGCATGAAGAGATCTGCAACCAACTTTTGGCCTGGTATGAAGCTAGAACAGGATCAAGGTGAGTTTATGAGGATGGGAACTACAAAAAATCAAAACAAACAACAAAAACCCACAAACAAACAAAACAAAAAACAAACAAACAAACAAAACCAAGAAAACCTCCATTAAACAACAAAACAAAAACAAAAACCACCAAACCAACCATAAAAACAATACAAACAAACAAAAACCAAACAAACAAAAAAAGGGGTAAGAAAAAATAGGACTCACCAGGTTACAGTCTGTAAGAACAACTCAAAATCATAATTAAGCAAACACTGAAGTCTATCTATTGGAAATTCTGTGGCTGAGGCGGCAAGAACATAGTGGTTTTTTTCCAGTGCAACAGAAAGTTAGTTCTAATTACTTGTTTTGCTTTGCTGACAAAGCATTTTACCTTGCCTACCAGCTCTTTAGCACAGCAGGAGGGAGTTACGCGCAGGTTTAAACTTGCCTTTGTAAGTCAAAACTAGAAATTACATATACATTATACAACATTTTTATTATGTTATTTAATTACAAGGACTAGAACAAAAGTTTTATAATAAGGGAGTTCATTCACCTCTTAAGAATCAAAAGCTCTAAGAAGCACACACACGATCACACCAAGTTTAATATCCTGTCTCCAGCAGTAGTCACTATTTAACGCTTCAGTGGAAAGCAATGGGATGCGAAATCCAGCCACAACCACTGCAGACACAGAGCTCTGCTTCCTCATCCTTGCAGTCAATTTCCCCTAAGCATAAGGCTGAAATGTTGCTATATGACAGGATGCAGCATCTCAGAAATTCATTTGACTTCATCTCCTGAGGCAACAAATTTCTTGTTAGTTTATGGGGAGAAAAAAAAACACAACAAAACACATCTCCTGAAACTATAGCCACAGACCCTTCAAAATCACAGCAGTTTCAATCTTTACAATATTTTGGACAGTAAAGAGCCGCAGAAAAACACCACTGTCTCCCAGCATGCTGTACTAGACAGAACTCCACTTCCACAGGTACTATCACAAAGTGGAAACAGCTGAAGAGAAGTCACTGACATCTTCTTGCTATATTATAGTGATATTTCCATTTCAATCACCTGAAGTAAATATATTACATGAGAGGCACAGTGCATCTGTTGATCCTGTATGGAACTAAGAAAATGCTTTTATATTTGGGGGCTGTGCAGGGAGGGAATGGTGATGGAGACGCAAATGGAACAGCAGCATCAAGTTCCTCATCCCAAAGCCAGGGAGTCTGTCCAATGGCTGCAGCTGCCAGAAAGCACCCGGCATGTTCTGCCTATACTCTCAGTCTCACAGCTGTGCACCCGGAACAGCCCTGACTCTGGGGAACTCCCAAAGCCACACAGCCTCTTGCTGACACTACCCTACTTTTAATGTGGTAACTAAAGTGTCCATCAGCCAGAATAAGAAAGAGAAAGGGAGCAAGAAACTGTGCAAGTCTGAAAACCCTTGTGCACTTTGTTGCAATTCAAATTCTTCCTGATTCTGAGTTAAAGATCCCCAGAACAAGACGTGGATTCCCATCAGAAGGTACAGCTCATGACAGTAACTTGGAGGCAACGCTGGTCCCTAATAAAGACAACTTGTGTCTGCTCGGGGAACTAATCCCAGATCCCCTAGGGCCAGCAAACAGAAGCAGAGGGAGCAATGTGCCATCTCAACAGGTACACACTGCCACCTCACAGTTACACCTGCTCATCTACCTCCTGCAAGGGCACAGGGGCATACAAATACCTGATTACTGCCTGCTGAATGAGAAACACGTGCTTTCACTGGAGCAACCAGTAACTTTTAAATTACTCCAACATCCTTGTCTTTGGCATGTCCTCAGATCAAAACCCCTTTTCTAGAAGGCTCTTCCCATGTCACCAAACTGTCTTCTTCAAAGGCATGTGAGCTTTTCCAGGGTCTCACTTTCTCATTCCCCCAGCATAAAGGCACTTCTGCACATACACAAAGTTACAGAGATTTGAAATGCCTGAATAAGCTCATGTTGAGGTCTCCCTGGGAGCCTGAAACTTCGTGTTCTTCCAAGTAAAGTGTCCAAG